AGTCGGTCAGCAGCGTGTTTGGAGGGTAGCTGCACCGTGCGAGGTAGCGTCCTGGGCCGTGCACGGCAACTTCACGCTCATGGATTCATTGTAGTTGTGAAACCAACTCAGTTTGAAAAACACATCTTTTTCTTTACCCTTTATAATTTCTGCAGCTGCCATGTGAAGACCAGATCATCCTTCTGAAAGGCTGCTGTATGGAGATAATGTCCCTCCGAGCAGCAGTTCGCTATGACCCCGAGAGTGAGACTTTAACACTAAATGGGGAGATGGCGGTGACAAGGGGCCAGCTGAAAAATGGGGGTCTTGGCGTAGTGTCTGATGCCATTTTTGACCTGGGCATGTCTCTTTCTTCATTTAACCTGGATGACACCGAGGTTGCCCTTCTTCAGGCTGTTCTGCTCATGTCATCAGGTGAGAACAGAAATATATTGGGACCCCAACCATTTTGAAACTCTTTAGTCTTTGTCACAAGCCTCTTTTTAAAAGAAGCAGGGTATGTTAGATCTCGAAGTGCTGACTAGGGTAATGCGGGAGAAAATATCTCTCAAAATTCCAGTGCAGCTTGGAACTGGTTTGGTGAGCACTAGGAAGAAAGATCAGGGTATCCGGAGAGATGGGCATAAAAGTGGCTTTGGTAACACACCTTGCTCAGTTTAGTACTTAGGGAGGAGGCAGGGATGGCCATCAGAAAGAAATCAGGTCTGGTTCTGAGCCAGTTTGCCTCAAATGAAAAACTGATGATTTAGCAACACTTGTCCTTACAGTAAGTTCCTTCTTCCCCTGGGTGCTGTCGTGCACTGGGCGGGAAGTGCAGTTCATACACATTTCCATCAGTCTCACATGCTCGGTTTGACCTGCTTTCTTGTTTTCCTACTTAACGGCACTAGCGCTTGCTAATGGCCATTTGAGAGCTGTGCTGTTTCCCCGCACCAGGACCATTTGCAACTGGTCTCTTGCTGGTGTGACACAAGCAACACAGACCATTTCGTATGATTTCCAAAGAGTTTCCTCCCTTCTCAGATCAAGTATGTTTTCAAATATGCTTCCACTGACTGTGCCAGCCCAAAGAGGAAATTCCATTCTTGGGCAGGGGCAGATTTGGCAAGGTTTTGTTTTAAGACCACTTTGAAGATCGGGCACTAAATAACAATACACAGACTGTGATTTACAAGTGTTAACTGTGTCTGAGACAGAAAGGTTTCCACATTAATCACAACACAGCACTTGACCTTCCCAATCAAAATACTTTGATTTCTTTTTAGTTCCCTACACAGTGATACATGAGCAGGGGTTTCAGAAGGCAGTTCAGAGGGCCTGCTTTCCCAGAAGTGTCTCCTAAAGAGTGACTTGTGAAAGGAGCTTCTCCAGTGCCCATCTGGGTGCCAGTTGAGACAATTGGCCAAACTTTTGGCCTCTGTTGTTCCTTGGTGCTCCATAACAGTTTCCTTTGCAGCTCACCTGTGGATCAAAGCTTGATCAAAGCATTGGTCGGACTGTAGAGAAACAGATAGGGAAGGACTGTAATTTAGACATCTGACAAGGAATTTTTTTTTTTGTTCTTTATTAGTTGTTTTACAGTAAGATATAGATAGAAGCCTTAGCTGAGATCAAGTATCTGTTGCTCTAGTCACCGTAAGAAAATACTTCCTGAACAACTATACTCTAAATGGGCAAAGCAGGCAAAAGATGAAGAAAAGGATTATCTCCTGTTGTAACAGGGATAGTACTGATAAGTGAGGTGCCCAGGGTCAAATAAGTTGTTTGTGGCAGAGCCAGATGTCCTTGGTCTCCCTCCTTTCTTTCCTAACAACAGAATTACCCTATTTTTCCTGATTTATGATCAGGAATTCATTAAGGTAAATGAGTAGTAACGATAATTCTGCTTCTTTATATCTGCAGATCGCCCAGGCCTTGTTTGCGTCGAGAGGATAGAAAAGTGTCAAGAGGGTTTCCTCCTGGCATTCGAACACTACATTAATTACAGAAAACACCATGTTGCACACTTTTGGCCAAAACTGCTGATGAAAGTGACAGACCTGCGAATGATCGGAGCCTGCCATGCCAGCCGCTTCCTGCACATGAAGGTGGAGTGCCCCACAGAACTCTTTCCTCCGTTGTTCCTGGAAGTGTTTGAGGATTAGAGAGACTGGAGCGGTTCTCCGCCTCCCCTCCCCCTGCCCCCCCGTCACACTACTGGCTGTCATTTCATCCCGTTGCCCGGCTCTTCTCACCTCTGTTTGTTGTTCTTCTTCTTTCGTTCTCTTCTGTTTCTTGAGGCGGGGTTGGGTTTTTGTTTGGGTTTTTGTTTGGGGTTGCTGGGGGGCAGTTGTATACACATGGATGAAAACATCCCTTTAATGCGGGTACTTGTGACTATTGCAATTTGTTCTTCAGTCCTTTGATGTGAATGCTTTGACAGCTTAACAGTGATGATACAAACAGACCAATCTCATTCACCAGCACTTGCATGGTCACCAGCTCACACACATCATTGCTTGGAAAATATGGGAGAGAAATTGAAGTGGCAGAAAATAAATTGGCCTCCAAGTTAAAACAGCTATGGTTAATTTGACCCTGGCAATTCTGTCTAGTATTGCCTCATTTTGTAGGGCACAAGTGAGCAATTCATGAGATGAAATTTCTAGTCTTCACGGTTGTTTCTATTGTAACAATCACCATTATGATCTAGGATCTTCATAATCATCATAATCCCATCATTATCTGAGGCAGATACAGTTTAACTGTGCCCCCATAAATCAAGTACTTAAAATAATGCAGAGTGTTAGAAGGGACTGACTTTTTTTTTTTTTTTCCATGTGTATAAGAAAGTAAGATCCTTCAGTTCTTACTACATTTGAACTCCAGGTAACTTCACTGGAAGGTCTGTTGGATTAAGGAGGGGAATTTGATCCTCTGAGGTGCTTTTCCTGAGATCGGAGAGGTCTGCTTTTTCTGAGGTGCGTGGAAAACTCGTCACTCTGAGGGAGAAGGCGCTCTTTCAGGATAGCAGCCTTTCCTCAGAGTTATTCAGGGATGTGAATGCTCACAGGATGAGGACAAGGAGAAGGAAACATACAGGGTGACCTTCAGGTGGGACAGAAACCAACTGTGTTATTAATGACACTCAAGACTGTACAGCTTTATCCCAGTAATACAAATAGTGTTGCTTGGCAGTAGTCTTTTGGTTTATATATATATATATAAAGTTTATATGCACGTATATATATAATTTTATATATATATAATTACAAATCTTCAGCAGATGTCTTAAACATATTTTCATATTTTTATCTTCTCTCTCTCCTCTCACCCTCTCCTGTAGGTGTGTGCGTTCATGTGTGTCGATCAGCTAGGTTCTCCCTTCTTGGTGTCTGTAGGTGTTTCGTTTGGCTAGATTCTCTCTTGATTCCTTTAATTTATTTCCACTAACTGCACTAGCAGGAACCGAACTGAGCAATGGCAGGGTGTCCTGCTGCCAAAATCTGCAAGCCAGTACTCACAGTCCTGGAATGTTTGGAGGCCGGTGATGAGGGCATTATAGGTAGAGGTTCCTCTCTGACATCCATCTCTGTTCAGGGGTGTTGTCCCTCGGTTTTATAAACTTGATATTAAACCATTCTCCGAATTTGTATGATATCTCAAAAGCATCCTTCTGTTCTTCCTGGGAACCAGAGACTTAGTTCACATATTTTGCACTTCCTCATACCCCACGTTCTTTCGTGCTGTGCATTCATTTGTACCAGTTTCTTTCTCTGCTATTTATTGATATATTTGCCTGGCAAGTCAGTGGGCATTGTTAGGGTGGATGTGTTGACATTCAAAGCTCATGGCCCATATCTAAACCCATATGTTATGTGTTTATCCCCTCATGAAAACATGATACTCAGGAAAACTTACCTTGTAGGTGGAACACAGTATGTGTGTGTCAGGGGTTAATT